GCCTCCCTGGTTATCTGTGTGTGTGTGTTTATGTGTGTAACCCCCCTTTGGTGCCTCTCGTACCAGGCTCGGCCTTGTCTCAGGCCACCTGGAATTTAGGCCCTGTGATATGTGCATGTGTGATCCTACAAGAGAAAGAGGAGAGGGAAAAAGAGAGAAGAAAAAAAGGGGGGGTCAGATAGAGAGAGAAAAAAAGGGAGAGAAAAATAATGCATGACAACTTAAGAAAAAGTAGAGCAAAAGGAAAGAGTAACAAAAGGACAGCATCTGCATGTTAGTGCTGGACATTGTATCATCACACCAGCTGCTGTATCTGAAAAACAAGATCCAGGTGCATAAGAAGTATACAAAGAAACCAATGGTACCATTATGACAGAGAATAAGCTTGTGCCAGTATCTGCTTCTGGAATTAATTACATTAATACCAAAGAAAAAATACATAAGCAGAACAACAGGAGCACAGTCTGGATATCGCCGCACCAGTATCTGCATCTGAGAAGAAAGAATGGAAGCCAAATACACACACACACAACCAGACAAGAAGGAGAGAGAGGGGTAACATAGGGCAAGAAAGACCTGGGCTATCTTGTATGTGCGTGTGTGTGTGTATGAGTGTGCAGGTTAACATGGAATGATTCCCAATGAGTGTGTGAGGCCACAACCACGCCGCCCCGGGGCCCCCAGATGGCCAGGAGAGCCCCAAACGATCATGGACCCAGCCGCCCCCCAGCGGCCAGGCACCCGGGCCCCCCGCCACCGGAGGGCTGCGCGTCCGCCCAAGGAGGCAGAGGGGGGAGCCACCGGGCGCCCCCCACCGGCGAGCACGAGCCAGGAGCCCCACAGCCACAGGCGGCACACCGCAGGGGCCCCGCCAGCCCTGGGGAGACCTGCACCCCCCCAAGAACCCCCACCTGGGAGACCAGGGAGACACCCTGAGAGCCACCAGGCACACCCACCCCTGGCTACCCCGATCCCCCCTCCCCTAAGCCCAGACCCCCCCCAACCTTCCCTCCCCCAAATCCCCTCACTACCGCCCCCACACCGCCCCATCATCCACGTGCCCCCCCAGGACAAACATGCAGACTCACAGATCCATGCATACACACATACACACACTCAGACACACAGATCCATGCATACACACATACACACACTCAGACACACACTCCCAGTCACACCTGCTTGTCTTTGAGGTCCGGCCGCAGATGCCCAGGACTTGCCCAGTGGGGGCCCCAGAGGATGTTCCCCACCCCCCCCAGA